CCTCCTAACGCACTAAACCACGCACAAAGTCTAGAGGCAGGACTAGGAAATAGTTGAGTGAGCTGATTGGTCCCATGGATGCAACTGGGATGCAGGACTTACTTATTATCCCCGTTACAAAACACTTTGCTACAAATCAAATCTTTTAGTGTACTGGACATCTCAAGATTCAGAAACAACTTTCTCCAAACCTCCAAAACCGTGTCGCGGAAATGTGACCCCATGACAAAGCTGTCAGAGTGCCGAGGGAGTTTCATCATTCTCGAAGCGAGTCGTCAGCTTTCGTTATCACATGGTTACCTGCTCTCGATCGCAGAGCCCAGCAGGCGAACACTTCAAGAATCTCACCCTTTCACTTTGGCGCAATCTCAAAATGCGCGCGTCGCCTTGGCATTCCCTTGTGGCGGCTCGTCCCTCTGTGGCTGGCAGAGCATGCATTCCTGCGCTCTGGTGATTGACCAAGAGAATAGAGAACGCAGAAGTACGTTGGTTGATTCTGGCTGATTTTCTGGCATGAAAGAAAGAGGAGGCATTTCCTAGCATTCCTCCTCGGAAAAACTGCACTGCTAACACTGCGTCCATCGCCCTGCATAGTCGTCTCCACCTTTCTAGCTCTGCGAGTTCCTTAGATTGCACGCATGAGATACGTTTCGATCTTACCAGTGTTTTGGCAAATCGTTCATTTCTATCATATTTGACATCTGGACAGTTTTCTTAGCCACCGCGTTCCGCTTCTACTCCTTCGAGCCCGCCTCACGAACGAAAATAAGTGCACAGACACGCTAGGCATGGACCGACCAGAACGAACGAGAATGCATCTTCGCGCATTCTCTCCACCCATCGCCCTCCTCATCTCGCTCGTCGTCCTGGCCCCCTCGCACACTGTCGCAAATGCCCAAGCGACTTCGCTAGAAATCGAAGAGTTGAGTCCTTTCGAAACGATAGACAGCGCAGTTGATGCTGGATCGTTCGGACCGCACGTCGACCTCTCTTCTTCCGGAACCGCCGCCGGCGGCGGCCGCGGCGGAAGCGGCGTTGCAGCCAGCGGCCGGCCGCCCGTGCCTCGTGTGGCCCAGCTGCGGGGTGCGAGCGACGCGGTAGCTGAGGCGCAGGCGAGCAGCGGCGTCGCAGGCGACAACTCGCGCGTCGCACGGCTGTACCTCTTGTCGAAAAATACCTACCGTGCGAGATGCCTGGACGGCAGTCCTGCTGGTTACTACCTTCGACGCGGGTTCGGCAGCGGCGCTAGCAACTGGATCTTAATTCTCGAGGTAATTTTTGAGTCGACTCAAGGTGATTTTTGAGGTGATTTTTGAGTCGACTAAAAAATCACCTGGACGGCAGTCCTGCTGGTTGCTACCTTCGACGCGGGTTCGGCAGCGGCGCTAGCAACTGGATCTTAATTCTCGAGGCTAGTGAGCCTGAGCGCCTGAGGCAGTAGAGATCTGTTTACAAGTCGACTTTTAAATGCATTAGGGGGAGGAAGGGATTCTTACCGAATCCAGTGCGTGATTGCCGTAACGAGCCGTTCTTACGCACGTGTAGCATGACGCTAATTGCACGTTACAACTTTTCTGGTGCGTGTCCATGTCGCGTTTCATCATCTGCGTTTCATCTGCGCTGCCAGGCTGGCGGGTGGTGTTTCAACGCCAAGTCATGCGCGAACCGAGCCAAGGGACCCCTTGGGAGCTCCAAGCAATGGCCGCCCACCAGCGTACGTGTTCTCGACCTCGCCTTGTTGCCATATCACCACGCTCGACCTCGCCTTGTTGCCGTATCACCACTCTCGACCTCACATTGTTGCCATATCACCACTCTCGACCTCACATTGTTCACCACTCTCGACCTCGCCTTGTTGCCATATCACCACTCTCGACCTCACATTGTTGCCATATCAACCGAGGCCCTCCCGCATGCCCCACATCCCATCTCGCCTAGCGCCTGCAAGCCGACAGAACAGAATCCCCTGCCTGCTCTCCCCATTCTTGAGAATCCCCTGCTTGCCTGCGTTTTGAGAGTTATCAAGATTCACCTAACGCATGCCCCACGCCCCATCTCGGATAAGTCCTGCAAACCGCCAGAACATAATCCCCTGCCTTTTCACCCCATGCGTTCCACTCGTTTATAATTACTGGGAGCTACGACGCCTAGTTTTGAGGCGCCTCAAAACTAAACTACGACGCACCCGCATCCCCAGTCCCTTCGCAACTCCCGACTTTCCCGCGTTGACTGCCCTTCCCATCGCGCCCTTCCTTGCCCGCGAATTCCTCCCCCATCTCCCCTGTTGCGCCCTTCCACAGAACGTGCAGTACGGCGGGGTGGGCAGCACGGACAGCGCCGTGAACCCCGCGTTCCACAACTGGAACCTGGTGCTCGTGAAGTACTGCGACGGCAGCTCCTTCACCGGCGGCTACGGCAAGCTGCGCGCCAATGCGGAGACGGGGCGCGCACTGTACTTTCGAGGGCACTGGAACCTGCAGGGCACGCTGCAAGGTACAGTACTTGAAGACATTCAACCCAGCAACGGCTGCTAAAGCTGTTACTCTGTATTCCGGAATACGGACGCTGCACTTCAGAGGACACTAGAGGGGTCACAGGTCACGGGTCACAGGTCACGGGTCACGGGTCACGGGTCACAGGTCACAGGTCAAGTGACACGGGTCACGGGCTAAGGAAGTGCTGTACAGACACGGCTTTAGTGGATTACAGTCTCGCGAGATGGCTCCCTACCTGAAACTTGCACGTTCCCATAGCCACCCTTTTCCCCCCACCCCTTTCCACCGCCCAATACTCTCATCCCCAACCCTCTTCCCCCGCCCGCAAACCCTCCGACCCTCATTCCGCTTCCCAGTTCAACCATCTGGCTAGTGTTTCGGAAAAGACGGAGCAAAAAACGGAATGCCCCTCTTTCAGTGGCGACTCTCCCATGCAGACCTGTTGGCTCGGCACGGGCTGAATGTGGGCAAGCAGATGCTGGTGGGCGGATGCAGTGCATGAGGCGCTGCATTGCCGTGTCCGTGCCTGCCCTTTTCTTGCCTGCCCTTTCCGTGCCTGACCTTTCCGTGCCTGACCCTTTCTCTTGAGTCGCCGTGCCTTCTGTTCTTCCCCCTTGCCAACTCTTCCCATACAGACCTGTTGACCCGCCATGGCCTGAATGTCGGCAAGCAGATGCTGGTGGGCGGCTGCAGTGCGGGCGGCGTCGCCACGTCAATCAAGTGCGATCAGATCTCGAGGTGGATGGCAAACTACAATGTTACAACCAAGTGCTTCATGGATGGAGGCTACTTCCCAGGTAGGCTTCACTTCGGGTCGGCTCATTTGGAGGGTAGATATTTCAATTAAAATCACAATGTATTAAAATCACAATGTATTTCAAACTTGTTCAGGTTTCCTCCCCATTCAAATTTCACTAAAATCTACTCCCTCTGCTGCCCATTTCTCTCGTTGGTCCGGCATCAGATGTGGTGGATGAGGACGGCAAGTGGACCATGAGGCAGAAGGTGCAGCAGATGGCGGGCGTGCATGACATGGGACGCACAGGGTTCAATGCAGAGTGCAAGCGAGGTGAGCCTCGTCGTAGGGTGGGGTACTTGGGCCCAGGTTAGAGGCCCAGGTTAGGGTTCCATGTGCTGCGTGCGAGGTGCGGGGCAGGTGATGGCCGGCGTGCATGACATGGGACGCACAGGGTTCAATGCAGAGTGCAAGCGAGGTGAACCTCGCCCTAGGGTGGTTAGCTTGGGCCTATGTTAGGGCTCTCTGTGGGAGCTGCGGGGTGCTCTGCAGCTGATTGGCGGGCGTACATGACTAGGGACGCACAGGGTTCAGTGCGGAATGCATGGGAGGTGAGGCTGTCCATTTCACCCTTCCTAGCGTGCCGAAGCAACCTTGGTGATGCATATGTTATGTCCCCTTTCATCAGAACACTAGGTCCCCCTTTGTGGATCACACTCTGCCCATCTTTCTTCCTGCGTTCTCCACCTTTCCACTCTCACCACGCCCTGTGCAGCAATGAAGAAGACCAACGAGACATGGAAATGCTTTTTCCCAGAATACAACCTGCAGTTCGCACGCTCGCCGATGCTCATCGTCAACTCCTTGTCCGATTACAAAGCCATAAGTTTGACCCTCGCGCCCAGGCCTAAGGGGACCTCTGACCCGCTGCTCCGGTGCCTCCGATCCAGCTACCAAAGCTGCACCCCAGCCCAGGTGAAGCTGCTACAGTCCTTCTCCACTAAAATCAGCACATCCATAGGGAAGCTTGTGAAGATGAGGTCTGTCGAAAATGAGGGGATCCAGGCGTTTACGTTCTCGCAGTCTGCACACTGCGTGGTGGGAGAGGAGATGTGGCAGAAGGTACAGTCGACTGCCAAGGCATTCTCGTCTGTTCCACCCCCTTCTTCCTCGTCTCCGTCATCGCCTCCCTTGGCAACAAGTGGTGCTAATGGTGCACCTTTAGCCACGTCTTTCGTTAGCTGGTATCGTAGTTGAGAAGAGTGGTCTAGGCTTGTTTGGTTTGATGTAATTCGTAATTTATTGGCAGGTGGAGCACAGTTTGTGCTTTCCCTTTTCATACATAATTAGAGGATTTTGAGCCTTGAGAGCTGTATTTGGATGCATATATAGTCATGCAGAATGAAGTGGCAACCTTTTAGCGGGTGTACCACAGCTGCAGCATTCCACTTCAAACCGCCGAATTTACCATCCCCGCCGAGATTTCTCGAATGCGGTCTGCCCCAAGGCGAAACGCGAGAGGCTGCATGAGTGCAGTGGTCCCCACGCTAGCCACAACCCTCGAATGGCGAGCGATTTCACCACCAACTGTCGAATGGCGAGCCACTCCGCAGAACCCCAAGATTCTCGTTTTGCCCCCCGTCATGTCCGGGCAACACACACGCACCTCGTGTGTTCCAGAATCGGGTTTTGGAAAATGAGCCCTCACTTGCTGCCCTGGGTTTCCATCAGGCAAACATCTGCTCTGAATCCAGACCAGAACACACAGCGTGGGTCTGGGGGGGAGAAGAGAAGGCTAGGATGTCAGGCCTTGCCCCACGAATCGTCTCGTCATGGCTGGTAACTCTGCCCCGAACTTGCCGTGCCGAACCAGGCCCCGCACAGAGTGCCTGACCTAGGCTCAGCTTGGAGGTCAGCCGAGGTGGTTCAATGGTTGGGTCCAGCGTTTGTGGCTCATGTGAACCATGTCGACGCCTGGCTGGCCCGAAGCGATTCGGAGCTCACGTGCCGCACGAGTGTCGCAATGGACATCAGTCTTGCTGGGAACACCGAAAATGAAGTGTCCTTTGATGTTCAACCTGCTGCTCAGCTGACTGGAGCTATTCCATACGCCAGTCTTGATGTGCTCCGAGAAATTCGGGCTCTAAATTTGGAAGTAGAAATACCCCTCTGTGCGCATATGCTGTCTAAGGCACACTGAGCTGGTGCTACAGGTAGTAATAGTCCTCGTTGCCACTGGGCTCGTGCTTTCGAGTCGTTGTGCTTGGTTCTCGAAGCCATGGCGGCGCTTTTACGCACCGCTGCTCAGCAGCAGAGCATGACGAGTTTGGTCTTGAAAAAGCCCTTCGTAGGGGAGACTACACGATTCCGTTCCTTCGCAGCAGAAAGATTCCTCAAGTGCTCGCAAGCCGACAGGGGACAGTCTCGAAATAGGTTCACATCGCTGAGAGTCAGCTCAGTCCTTGAGGTAATAGACGAGGCAATTGTCCATCCACGCCTTATCGTTCAATCAAGTTCTCATCGTTAGGTTTGCTGGCTGCAGGTACCGAGTAGCCTTGAGGGCTCCCTCTCTCCTGTGGTGTTTCCAACGCCTGATGACGGCGATTCAACCACGAAAAGGTGGAAGGTCCTTCCTGACATGTGGCCAACTCTTTCGAAGCAGTACGGTGACAAGATCGCTGTTTTCGATCCACACCACGGTCAGAAGCGAGGCTTGACGTTTTCGGAGCTCGAAACCGCAATCCACGACTTCGGTGAAGGTCTCCGTGTCTATGGGCTGAAGCAAGGAGAGTGCGCAGCGCTTTTTGCTGAGAACTCGCATCGATGGCTTATTGCTGATCAAGGCAAGTCACTGGTTTCCAAGGTTGATGCTTGTTCGTGAAGCTAGCGCGGCGGCTTATCGCATCCGATTATTGGGTTCAGCACTTTTCTACTTCGAATAACATTGAAGTCTGAATGCGAGCAGGCGTCATGGATATTGGTGCTCGTGACGCGGTTCGAGGAGCAAAATCGTCAGGAGCGGAGTTATTTCACATTCTGGAAAACTCTGACAGGTTTGTCAAGTCGAGTAGCTAGTTTTCCGCCATTAATTGGCTCCTTCAGGTTGCAAATAACTCCATTTTCACATTCATGATTTCAGTACCGCCGTCATCGTGGATAACGTAGACGTTCTCGAGCGCATCGCCCCTTTCCTCGAAGCTTCTTCAGTGAAGGAGATTGTCAACTTCGCGGTTGTCCTTTGGCCTCCTGTCGCCAAAGGCCAGCCAACCAGCTCTGACTGGAAGGCCAGAAGCAAGTGCTTCAAATGGTTTCCTCTGCACTCGTTCGAGGAAGTATCAGCAGCTGGGAGGGCCAGCAGGCTCACTCATGATGCGTTATCGCGCTCGGAGCCTCGTCAGACCTCTAGACCTGATGACGTGGCAACATTGGTGTACACGTCTGGAACGACCGGGAATCCCAAGGGAGTGATGCTCACGCACAACAACCTGATGCATCAGGTCAAGCTCCTCCATTCATCAACTTTCCTGGTTCCATTGCATTCCCCTATCCCCTCGGTTCCTGGCTACGTTCCTTAGCCACCCTTCTCCTCTTCCTCCCTCGCCGCTGTTCAGCACACCCGCCATCTATCTCTCCTTTTTGCACGTTCCGGCTTGTATTCTCAAATTCCGCGTCATGCTTGTGCTTTGCAGGTCAACAACTTCACATGTGCCCTGACGCCCGAGTCTGGTGATGTCATGTTGAGCCTGCTACCCCCGTGGCACATGTACGAGCGCTCATGCGAGTACTTCCTGCTGAGCCATGGCGTCCAGCTTGTCTACAGCAATGTCAAGTCGTTCAAGGTCCGTTCATTGTATGATTGCATTACGTTTTGAATTATCCCACCATAACTTTGAGTTTGATTAAATTTCCTATCTGGTTTTTGCAGGAGGATCTGGTGAAACATCCTCCGGACTACTTTGTTGCTGTTCCACTTGTCTTTGAGGTTCTATACAGGTAATACAGTCGCAACCCATAACCATTCCTGGCGTTCTAATGACTTACCTCCAGTTCTAGAAGTCACCAAACCCCCATTGTTGGCCTTGCAGCGGAGTCCAGAAAAAGCTTGCTGCAGCATCAGCTGCCAGAGCAGCAGTCGCCAAGTTCCTGATGAAAATTAGCTGCCTCCACAAGGAAGCTCTGCGCGTCTGGACAGGATTAGCAGTCCTTCGTTCGCAAGAAAGCACTCAGGGGCTCATGTTTGCCAAGGCGCTGGTGGAAACTCTGGGAGCAGGGCTGTTGGCGCTGGTGCTGCTGCCTCTCCACCTGCTGGCAGAGAAGCTTGTGTACGCCAAGGTCAAAGCTGCAATCGGCATTAAAAAGGTAGGGTTGGCACTTTTGCAGATGGGGCAAGGCTCCGGCTGCACTCTACACCTTTTAGTCGCTTATTTCTTGCTCTTTTGTTTCTTCATTCATACTTGCAGGCAGCAGTAAGTGGTGGAGGAAGCTTGCCATCGCATGTGGACAAATTCTTCGAGGTAGGCGGCATGTTGTGACGGTTGTCTGACTGGTTCAAGCTCAAGTGTCGTGCATGGTTGATCTGAGACACTTTTTTCTGTACTTACCCAGCAAATCGGGATTACTCTGCTCAATGGATATGGCCTCACAGAGACCTCTCCTGTGCTGACAGTCCGACAAAGTTCCAAAAATGTAAGCATTCTTCATCTGTGAAGCTTCTCCGCTGTCACTTCTGCTTGCTAGACCTAATACCATACGTGCACTGCGTGAAACAGGCACTGGGGAGCATTGGGAGTCCAGTTCCAGGAACGGAGATCAAGATTGTGGATCTGGAGACAGGGTTTGGTCTGCCTGCAGGCCAGCGAGGGCTGGTCAAAGCACGTGGCCCACAAGTGATGAAGGGCTACTACAAGGTAAGTTCTTGAGGGTTTGCTTGTAGGAAAAAAAATAATTCCGCATTGTGCTGCGAGGCAATATTTCAAGCCAGGAGGCTTCCACCTTCCCTCTGTGAATCACTTCATCTACATGTCCAACACTCTGTTTGTGTCCAACAGAATCCGTCTGCCACAGCAATCGCAATTGATGAGGATGGCTGGTTCTCAACAGGCGATCTCGGGTGGATCTCCCCTCTGAAGCCAGTTGGTGCTGCTCGAAATGCTGGAGGGCTCCTGGTCCTGGACGGTCGAGCCAAGGACACGATTGTCCTCGCCAGTGGTGCGTATGAACAGGTAGCACTCACTGACGCTTTAGCTTTCCTTGCTTGGCATTAGTGTTCGAGGCTAAGACTCGCTGTGGTGCTTTTTTGTCCGTCTTGGTGTGAACAGGCGAGAATGTGGAGCCTGCTTTCGTCGAGGAGGCTGCTCTTAGAAGCCATGTCATCCGCCAGATAATGCTGATTGGCCAGGTAAAGCGCATTCAATGGAATTGCAGCAGGCAAGAATCTTTTGCTTACGTTTAGTTTGCCTGAAGGGAAGTTGCTTGTTTGCAATTTCAGGACCAGAGGAAGCTTGGAGCGCTGATTGTTGTGAATGAGGAGGAGATGGAGGCTTCCGTGGCAAGCATGAGGGCTGAGAAGGGGGTGGATGGAACCGAGGTGACAGAAGAGGAACAGAGAAGGGTGGTGCGACAAGAACTCACCCGCTGGTAAGCTATGCATTTGGGCAGCTGAAGTTTTCGTGAGTATTGTCCAGACATATCCTCCAAGCATATTGGATGGGCTATTTCACTTTGTAATCTGCACGGATACCTTCATGCCTCTCACCCCAGGGTCTCCTCTTCCTCCGCTTGCTTCAGCTTGACAGAGGCTGGGTGTTTGGCGCATGAGCGAGTTGGGCCATTTGCAATCCTCAAAGAAGCATTTACGGTAAGTCTTGTCATGTCACCAGTTTCGACCATCACGTACGGACGTACTGCTGACAAACTTGTTGGTGATTTTACAGGTCGAAAATGGTCTCCTCACTGCGACGATGAAGATGCGTCGTGATGTGATTTACGACCGGCACAAGGAGCTTTGTGACCATCTCTTCCAGCATTAACTCACTCAAGGTTCCACTCTAGCTGTTCAAAGCAGTGAATTGTATCTGTGGAGATGGTCTGTGGGTCCTGCGGAATATAGATTGTTGATTTCTTTTTGTATAGATGGTGTTCATGACGAGTGGTCATGGATGTGCAATAATGTTGATCACAGTGATCCAAAACAACCAACAAATTGGTATCTGCAAGTGACTGCCATTTGAGCAAGAGTTTGAACCAGGGCCCAAATTTTAAGGGTGTTTTATGCTGATTACGCTTACCAGCGGCCGCTTTTTTAGGTTTACCCTGATTTTGTAAGGGCATTTGTTCCCTGACCCTTTCTCAAAAAGTGCAGTGAAAGGTGTTACCTTGCTGTATGTTAAATTATATATTTTGTTATATAATTGGTAGGCTCGGTAGGTTTATCAAACTCTACTGTAGAGGGTACAACTCCCTCGTATGCCTCTCTCTCTTCTAATCTCCCTCTTTTCTCTCGACATTCTCTCCTACCTAAACCCTCACGCCATTCCATGGCTTCCTAGCGTTCTAGTCTCTTGACATGCTATCGGAGCAGGTTGCCCTTCTTGGGCCTGCTCCTCACGCTTCTGCCCCGCACTTCTACCGTCCCTTCCGTACCACCGCCGTCCCTCGCCGAGCTGCCATGACGACCCCGACGCATAGCCGTGGCGACCATGTCGAGGTGCCGTGGCGGCCTCGCCGTATGGCTGCCTCGTCGAGCAGCTGTGCCGGCCTCGCCGCACTGACGTGGCGGCTTCGCCGTGCCGCCATGCGTCCGTGCCGCCGTTCCGCCGTTCCACCAGTAAGCGCAGCGCCATCCATGACGCGTCACTGAAGACTCGCCCTCCCTCCATTTTCCCCTCCTCTGCCTTGCCATCTTCCTTGCCACAGCTGACGCCTGCCTTGTGAGGGCCTTCTCCATCGCCGAGGAGATTGGCCATGCCGCCGAGAGGGCGGGGGCTGCTGCAGTCGCCGCCGCCGCCACTGTTGCCGCTGGCCTGTTGCCGCCGCACGCCGCCGCCGCCGCCGCTCTCGTCACTGCCGCCGCTGCCGCCATTGCCATCTCACGGGCCGTGGGAGTTGACCTATTTCAGAGTAGTCGTTGCTGCTGCTGGGAATGGCGGTGCTAGGTTAGGGGGTGTGTGTCAAACATGTGTATTTGTTATGTTTGCATAGACTGAATAGGGTCACCTCTTAGAGAGAACAATAGTTAGGTATATCTATCTGTACTCTCCCTCTATCCATTATTCTCTTCTCTCAATCTGATATGGTATCACGCGTAGGTTAGGATCCCCCCACCTACCGCTTCCGCTCGTCTCCTAGCTAGGCCCCCCCCCCCCCCCCCCGGGCCCCGTCGTGCCCCTAGCCCTGCCGCGCCCCTCCTGGGCCCCGTTGCGACCTCCCCCAGTCCCGTCGCGACCCCCTGGGCCCCGTCGCGACCCCCTAGCCCCGTCGCGACCCCCTAGCCCCGTTGCGACCCTCCCGGGCCTTGCTGCGCCCCTCGCCCCGTAGTGCCCCTCCTGGGCCTCGCAACGCCCCTCCTAGGCCCCGTCGCGCCTCTCCTGGGCCCCTCCTGGGCCCCGTAGTGCCCCTCCTGGGCCCCGTCGTGCCCCTCCTGAGCCCCGTCGCGCCCCTCCTGGGCCCCGTAGTGCCCCTCCTGGGCCCCGTAGCGCCCCTCCTGGGCCCCGTCGCGCCCCTCCTGGGCCCCGTAGTGCCCCTCCTGGGCCCCGTCGCGCCCCTCCTGGGCCCCGTGGTGCCCCCTCCTGGGCCACGTAACGCCCCTCCTGGGCCCCGTAGCGCCCCTCCTGGGCCCCGTCAAGCCTTCAGGCCCCGTCGTGCCCCGTCCGGCCCTGTCGCCCCCCCTGCCCGGCCCCCGTCGCACCCGCTCGGCCCCGTCGCACCCGCCCGGCCCCGTTGCGCCCTGCCCGGCCCCTGTGCTCCTCCCTGCCCCGGCCCATTCATCCTCACTGGTACGGTTCCCCCTCCCTGCACTGCCCTGCTCCGCACTGCACTGCACTGCCCTGCCCCGCATTGCACCGCCCTGCACTACTCTGCTTTGCACTGCCCCATCACTGCACTGTACTGTCCCGTCCTGCCCTGCCCCTGATGGCGGCGGAGCTTCGCTTCGACGCTGAAGGCCAGCCTCTGGAGTTCGAGGCGTGGCTTGCCGACCTCCGGCGCCAACTCACTGGCCAGCGGCAGGATGGTGAACCGCTTTCCGCACACCTTGACGGTACGCTCCCCTGCCCAGACCCCCCTGCTATTTTGCCTGCTGACTCCACACCCACTGAGCGCGAGTCTACTGCTGCCATTGCCCGTGCGCGCTCTGTCTGGCTTTCTCGCGATGCTGTCGCCCAGCTTGCCATTAGCAACGCCCTTCCCCCGTCTGAGCGCCCTCGCTTTAGGTCCCTCACTACTGCTCAGGCATACTTAGATGCTGTCATCAAGTGCTATTCCACCCCTCCGGCTGCCTCGGTGGGTCGCCTGATCCTCCCGATGCTCTTTCCTGACCTTGCATCTTTCCCCACTGTCTCTGACCTCGCTGCCCACCTGTGCTCGATAGACGAGACCTGGTGCGCTGCCTGCACTGACGCACAGCTTAGAGCCCACCAGCCGCCCATTACCTCTACCCTTTACCTGCTTGCCACCCGCCTCCCTGACCGCCTTGCAGTCGCCCGCGACCGCTTCCTTAGCATTCACCCCGCAGACCTCACCCTCACTGATTTTGTCGACACCCTGACTGTGATAGAGACCCGTCACCGCTCCATCGCCCAGGCGAGCGGTACCGTGCCGGTCCCTATCTTTCACGGTTGTGCCCCGCTCACTGTACCTTCTCCGACGGCTCGGCCGCTGTGGCTGAGACTGCTGCTGCAGCGCAGTTTCGTTCGGGGAAGGGCCGCCGCCCCAAGGTTGGGCGCGGCGGAGGAGGCGGGGGTGCGGGAGGGGGTGTGGTGGAGTCGGGTCCGTCTGGTGCTGGACGGACAAGGGGGAACCCTGCCAAGTCCAGCTGAGCTGCTGCCCCTCGCAGTCGCAGCAGCAGCAGCCGCCGTAGTCGCAGCAGCCGCAGCCTTCGCAGCAGCCGCAGCAGCCGCCGCCAGCGAGGACAGACCGATGTCCTCCGCCCGGGTGGCCCGCGCTGGCGGTGGTCGGCGCGCGGGTGGTGTGCCGAGTGGTGGTTCCGGGGGCGTGCGTTGTCAGTACCAGATCCAGACCGGTCCTCGCCGCAGCTTCGTATTGCGGTAAAGATCGGTCCACTCCATCCTCGCTGTTTTCCGTCGCCTGGACGACCTGTTTCGTAGCGCTTTCGGCCCGTCGCCAGACCTCCTGGACTGGCACAGTTGCCTAGGCGTAGTATTCAGATTTTTTGACTGGACATGGATGCCATTGTAGCTGCCCTGCATGTGATGTATGCTGATGACTCTAGTGTGCTTCCTTCTTATCACCCCGTGTTGCCTAGTGTAGGTGTGTCTAGCGTAGCCTCCCTGCTGCGTCAGGCGTAGGATCACTTGCTTTGTTTAGCCTCGGTGCTTCCATCGCTTCTCCGCCGCCACGCGCCACTGCTGCGCTTTCCTTCACCTTGGACTCTGGCGCTTCCCGTGTTTCTTCCGCGAATCCACCACGCTGACGCCGCTTCCTGTCCCTGCGGCAGTTTCTCTTGCTGACCCCTCTGGTGGTCCGGTAGTCGCCCGCAGTTCCACCTCCTTCCCTGTCCGGCGGTTCCTTCGGCTCTCTCACAGGTCTGCATATCCCCTCATTCTCCAGGAACCTAGTTGGTGTCGGCTGCCTCCAGGACCTTGGCGTCACCACTACGTTCCCTGGTCACGAGCGGTATGCTGTCTGTACCGAGGCCGCCACTAGTGCCCCCCTTACCACGTTCCCCCGGGACCCGGTGTCAGGCCTGTTCACACTTGACACCGTGACTTCCCCGGCTAGGCCGTCTCCCCAGGTGGCTGCGTCTACCCAGGTTGCTGCTGCCTGCTCCTGTCGGTCCCTCACTCACCCGACTCTCTCTGGCACCACCGCCTAGGTCACCCTGCGCTCCTGCGTCTGCGTCACATGTCCCAGCACGGTCTCGTCCTTGGTCTCCCTGGTTCTCTCCACGCTTTTCCCTCCTCCCCAGCCCCACCTTGCACGCCTTGCGTCGAGGGTCGGCTTCGCCGTGCCCCTCACTCCTCCTCGTTTCCCCCTACCGCCGCGCCGCTGCAGACCCTGCACATGGACGTCTGGGGCCCCGCCCCCGTCCATGGGCCGCGTCGAGAGCGCTACTTCCTTGTGCTTGTCGATGACTTTACTCGCTACAACCTCGGTCTTTCCCCTGGAGCGGAAGGCCGACGTGCCTGACGCTCTCATCCCCTGGCTTTGTCTCTGCCCGTGTCCACCGAGGTCTCCCTGTCTTGCGTCTTCACTCCGACCGGGTGGCGAGTTTGCCTCCGGTGTCCTTGGTCGCTTTTGTCGTGCGGAGCGCATCACCCAGACGTTCACCCTACCGGACTCCCCACAGCAGAATGGGGTCGTTGAGCGAGGCATCGGTTTGGTCATGGAGGTGGCTCGCACCTCCATGATCCATGCCGGTGCACCCCATTTTCTGTGGCCGTTCGCCGTTCGCTACGCCGCTCACCAGCTTAACCTGTGGCGGCACCCCCAGCAGCCGCAGGTTTCACCGACCCGTCTTTGGACTGGGTCTCCTGGTGACGCGTCTGCGTTCCACGTCTGGGGCTGCCTTGCTCACGTTCGTGCCTCCGGCACGGACAAGCTCACTGCCCGCACCCTTCCCTGCGTCTTCCTCGGTTTTCCCCTTGACGCGTCCGACTGGCACTTCTACCACCCGCCGTCTCACTGCTTCTTTCACTCTCGCGACGTCACCTTTGACGAGTCCGCCTCCTACTACCGTCGCTTCCCCCACCGCGGTCCCCCCGGTTACCCCCCCCTGTTCCTGGTCACTCCCTCCCCGGTAGTCCCTGCCCTCCCCCTCCCCCTCCCCGTCCTGCCCCCTCTGGTGTGTCCCACGCCACCCCTCTTTCGTCGGTGGTACCGGTTGAGGAGTCTCTGACTCTGGTGACCCTGCGGCGCAGTCCTCGCCAGCCGCCCCTCCCCAGGCGTCCCCTCCTCCACCGCCTCTGTCGCCGCTGTCGCCCCTAGTGTCGCAGCCGTTGTCACCTCCGCCGCCGCCGTCGCAGCCGTCGTTGTCGCTGCCGCCGCCGCCGCCGTCGCAGCCGCCGTTCGTTGACTCTGGG